CATTGCTCCTCATAGCCAGATCCTGGGGAATGTAAATTGCCAGCTGCTCCAGCCAAGGATAAAACTTCTACTCCAGATGGACAGCGGGAGGTGGGAGATTGTTAGAGATGCTGATGGGTCTAGTAGACATGTAATTATTTGCATTACAAACACCCCACCTAGGTCCCGACTGTAGAGGTCTCAACTGTGATTATACTAGGCCCATCATATTAGGCTCTGGACAAAGACCCCTAAAGAACCTCTCCCCAAAGGCCTTCCAGTCTAATTATACAAGACAGAACTAGGCTAGAAAGGAAAGCAGGCATCGAGAAGTGGAATAACTTGACAAAAGCCACATGATGAAGCGTTGGCAGAGCCAGCAATAGAATTCAGTTGTCCTTAGTGCGAATCTGATGCATGAGCCATTAAGCCACTCAGCCACCTTTTTTCTTTCCCTTCCCCTGTGACTCTCACTTCCCAAAAATAAGAGACAGTGGGCTAAATTCTCAGTTGATGTAATTCAGCATCTCTCAGTTGACTTCAATACTGTGAAAGACACCAGTAGAGCAATAACTGATTTACACCAGCTCAGCATCAGCTTTTCCTGAATTCATTTCTTCCTTCCTCCCCCTTTTTTTCCTTGTATTTGTCTTTCTTGATCTGGTAACACCATTTGTCAGCAGCTTGAGCATTTGTCTGACACACTGCTCCCTGCTGCAGCTTGAAGTCCTTCCGTTAGCACTTTCTACCTGCAGGGAAATAAGTGCCATCTTCTTTAAATCTCTGCTGTAATGGCATGATTGAGGACGCTGGCAGCAAATGATAGCTCTTGGTCTACACAAGTTAACAGTATTGAATTATAAAGGCTGAACTTGATTGAAGCTGTTATATATGACCAAAGGGCACATTTTGACCCAAGTTCAACAGCTTAGCATGTGATGCCTGAAGACTGTCAATATTTCTTTTCTTCGTTCCTTTGTGCAGGGAGGGATTCTCAGCAATGAAGATTTTGCATTTCTTTCTGCATGTGTTCACAGTTATTCACAGTCCTCAACATGGTTGGCCTTCTCTTAAAGGGACTATTGTCCACCTGCCTGAGTTTGCTAAATGCATCATAGTTTCATAGTTTCTAGGGTCGTAAGGGACCTGAG